CCTAGTCCTCGTTATAGACAGAGATGAATAAAAACGTGCAACTAAAATCGGCGACAGTTGCCCTTTGAAAACGTTCTCCACAAAGGGTTTTGAAAGGAGGGGTTCAAGAGCGCTTGATGTAATAGGCAGAGGTGTGGGTGGAGGAAAGAAGTCTCGGCCACACTCTGAACTCCATAGCGCGTCCTTTTATGTCTCGGTGCCTATTTTCTTTGAAAGTATTTTGGGCTGGCAAACCCCTTGATCCTGCCCAAGTGCCACTACCTTGCCCAGACCTCTCGCTGTTTTCCTTGTGCAGAATTCTGTCAAGAAGAGTCAGATATCTTTCACCCTTTTTGCTCCTTCAAGTTGGCGTCCCGTGGGCAGACCTTGGCCGACAGGAACAAATGCCCAGCAGAAAGCTTCTCTGACCCAGAGTCAGGCAATTAGTGGTGCCTTCCCATTAAATTTTGTCTCCCAGGCAAATTACAAGCCGGCGTGTACTGGCAGGATGCTCATCAAAGGCATAGGCTGCCCCCTCCACTTCTTCTCTGGCTGCTGTCAATTTAGAGCACACACAGCTTCTCGAAGCCTGAAGAAAGGGGCACGTTGTTTTGTGGGTGGTCATGGCATGTCACTCTGTCACCCCAAACGAAAACACGTTTTGGACAATCAATACTGTTGAAAGTTTAAACAGAAGGACTTTTGCTTTAACATTAATGCCACAGTCTGATTCAAGATTACTTTCAGCCTCCAAGAAAATGATAAACAAAAAATCCATCAGGAGTTTTACTCTGCTGGAAAATATCCCGTTTCATTTTGACTAGGTGCAGTTCACTCTTGACAAAACGCTGGCAAACAAGATTTTAGGCTCACAAAAATGAAAGCTGAAGGACCTGAATTTTAACCTTCTCTGACGACACACATTTATCCCCCACCTCTTTGTACCTATGTAGGCTTGTAAACTAGTTGAACCCTTGACACCCCTTCAACTATATTGCTTGGATGAAACTAACTGGGTCTGTTCCCGCTGTTGTTCAAATGCACTTGAAGTCACTTCAGAGGGTTTCAGGAAGTGGACTCTCAGTGCGGTCATCACACACCCGTCTCCCATGTAGACCACATCAGTGTGATACAGACATGGGAGCCAGGCTAAATGTTTGTGTATTGGGGCTCAGCCTTCCTGCGCAAATATAAATAAGTGCGGGAAAGATGTGGGTTTGGCTCTGTGGGTCTTAAAAGCAAAATTGTGTTGGCATATTTTCCCCTGGATGTGTCATTTCCTTTCATTAATTGTACTGCTTGCATCGATCGGCAGATTTCACCGGAGAGTCTCAGCTGTCCATCACAAAACAAAGACTGGCCAGCCCTGTGTAACAACAGCACTTTCACGTAATTGGCCTTATTCAGCTTTACTGTGCGGTGCTGTCAGATCTATCGTAGATCAGACAAAGAGCTCGAGATAAAGGGAAAGTCTAGACAGCCTGCATAAACCTGTGGGTTTTAAATCTTGTCATTGAAGGCTTGACTGAAAATAACTTTGCCAAGATGTCCTTGACAAGTGATGTACTGTACAGTAGCTGACAAAGGTATGCTCCCATAAGACAGACAGGCTTCCACAAATCTCATTTAGGAGAATTTCTGAAGAACCTCCCATGCAAAGGATAACAATTTGTATGGAAGTATACAGAATCTTCTGTCAGTCATCTCCAGTGCTTTGCAAAGATTTTCACCCCCTGCCAGCGACAGCCCAAAAGGGTGAGTTGCAAAATCATGTGCTGTGTGCGCTTTCTTAAAGTGAGTATTTTTTACTTCAACCTTGAACACTCAAACTTAACACCTTTTGGTGGAGAAAGATGTCAAACATGAGCAAAATCTGCAAAAAAAAGCCAAACAATGATAAACCTTGTTCACAAGGCTGCTGGAAAAGAGAAACGTCTTGGGTGACTTCACGTTTGTTTTAAACATTTTTTGGGGGAGCAACTTCACCTGAACAACAGTGATCTGGGGCTGAAGCTCTGGTGGATTTCTAGGCTTATAGAGGTCACATATGATATATCTTTTGTGTGATATGTAATTTTCATGGTGTACTTTCTAGCTCTAGGGATATTTTTCTATAGATAACTATAGTTGAAGCTCATAAATATTATGTATTTGGGGATTAGGTTCGTTTTAAGTCAAAATAAAACTTTAGAGCTTGGGTACATTCCCACATCATTGCAGCCTCATCATTTACACACACGGAAGGATGTTTATAAAAGTTTACCATGGAACACTTGACACATGTTTGTGGCTTTATAATGCTGATGCCATGCAGTTCCCTTGCTCAGCCAGAGGTTGGCCTATACCACGCTTCCTCAAGCTTTGCAGCAATATTCCTGTGCTTTACCAGACCACACTCCAGTTTGAGCTATAGTATATCTCAATTGGGAGTAATAATATTGCAAGTTTATATGAGATTGCGTTCCTGCTTATTTTTGCCATTTTAGGAGGAAGCACCAGAATTGGAATAGATAAGTGTATACAGCGATACCCCCAGAAACTGCAACAATGCTGAGCAACATATTTGCTGTGCTTTACTTCTGCTGGTCACACCTGTCACTATTGTACTACCATGCTGGGCTGTGCCGGACATTTCTCAGATTAAAGCCCCAGTGCGTTCATCCATCCACTTTCTATCCAATACAGGGTCAAGTGGGAGCCAGAACCTGTTTCAGCAAGCAACAGGCGCAAGGCAGACACAAGCACACACTCACACTTGGGCATCATTTTTCCAGAAGCCAGTTAACCTACCACGATGTATTTGGACTGTGGGAGGAAACCAGAGCACGCAGAGGAAGCACAGGGAGAACATACATACTCTACACAGATAGCACTGCAGGAATTGAACTCAGGGCTCCCGCTGACCACTGTGCCACAGTGCCACCCTGCCAGTGCATGTGTGACATTCTTTTTTGCCCCACCGTAGATTGGGTTATTTAATAAAGATCCAAGAAGACTATAATCTAGCACTTCCACTCTCCTATGTATAAATAATAGCCAGCTGCCCACAGCTCTGTGCGCCTCTTTTCTAGCTCAACTCCACCCCAACTGCACCCTTGCAGCTGTCTCCCTAGTTCATTCCTCATACATAAGGGAGGTTGCGACAGCAGTGATCTTTGGCTAGGAGGAGTATTAAGCACATTATTCCTGTCTATACATCGGCTCATTTGGTCTTAATAAGAATTTCAAGAAACTACTGAAATGTAGTTTGTTGGATATGGAATAAGGTTATGGAACTTATGTATGGAATGTTTGTCACAAGCGAGCAGCAAACTCTGGAATATAGTGTGGTGTTCTACGAGACAAGATACTCATAACCATGTGATGCAGTTCAGTAATGGACAGCAACTGTTTTTTATTAACTTGCAGAACAGTGGGGGGGGGGGTTGACTTAGTGGAGTTTTCAAAGGGCTTCTCTGTGCAGAATTAAAGAACTTTGAATACTCATTGTGGCTGAGTCCTGTTTAAGCACTAAATGGTAAAAAAAAAAAACTAAATAACAGAAAAACTGCGGAAATGCTTTCCCAGAAGCCCAAGGCAGTCACTATAGTGCTGCCAAGAATAATGTCAGTGATGTAATGGAGGAGCTGCAAATACGCACTATATTTTCCAAATTATTTCTTATTATTATTCCTGTTGTTTTCATTACTTGCATTCTAACCATGGGTCTCAGAACAGAATTTTGGGATTTTGTTTTTTGGGGGGGGGGGGTTAGTCTAATTGCTGGGAATTTCAAGTAAAGACAGGAATGTTGGTTTATAGGGAAGAAGGAAATGCCTAAAGGACATAACCATAATGTTTTATTCAGCAAGACAAAAATAAATCACCAAAGAAAGAACTGAACCCAGATTGAAGCGATTGTCTTTAATGGGATGATGTCACCTCTTTCTGTGTTGCTGTGCCATTCTGTGGTATTTTGTCCCAGAAGCTGTCTCGGCTGCTGAAGTCTTGCAGTCACTGTGAAGCTTTGGGCAAACTTTGCTACTGTATAAGGGATACTGTTACTCACAATAATGCATCTGGAATTCAGCAATCCCATTCCACAGACAGACACTTTAAAGGAGGTGCAGTTGAAGAGAATCAGTCTTTCACTCAGTGAATCTCAACAGCTAATGCCTCCATGCTTTTTTTAAAAAAATCCTACAGAACGAAGCCAGACAGCAGGGGGATGATGGTGATAGTCAATAGGATCTTGGGGTTCTTCCTGCATCAGAAGCAAACCCCCAAGGCTATCTCCCACTCTCCAAGAGATTTTTTGTGGCCATACTGAAACATTTTGAGTGATCGTGACAGCTGTCCCAAGAGGCAAACCACTTCTGCAGTTGGAACAGTCATTCCTCTTTCATCATTTTATTGAGCAGGGGATGAAGAACTTAAAATTGAAGATGAAAAGCTGTAAATACCACACAATCTCTGTCTGAGCTGCGGCACCTAACTTTCCGCAGTGTGAATCATGTTGATTCCATTCGTACTCCCAGATATACTCAGTTTAGGACCATAAGAGTGTCTGGACAGCCTGTCTGAGTCTTGGGAATCTGAGTGTCCGAGTAAGGCCTAGAACCATGCTCAGTCTTTTCTGAGCAAGTGGAAAACTAAAGATCAGGAAAGAACCTACAGCAGATGCTTAGGCCTTGAGCCCCATCGAAACCCTGCACAACTGACACTCCCACGGTTCTAAAATTCCTTTATGGTTTGAATTGAGATTAAATAACACATTTCTGAAGCTGAAGCGACTGTAGTGCGTTTTTAATTTTCATTTCTACATTCTGCTTCAAGAGCATTTAAATGAGACACCCCCCCCCAGTCCCTCGGAGTAAATATTATCGCGCGTATTGGACATTTTCAAGTTTAAAGCAGAACTGTCACGCCTCATGTATTATTTCGAAAGCTCTGTAGTTTTTTTTTTTAATGCAGTGAATACACGAATGAGCCCGTTTCCGCAAACCTTCTTTAATAAAACGGTCGCATACGGTGATATTACAATAGTTGGCGGCTCCGAAACGCGTAAACAAATGCTGGGAGTTGAGCACAGGGGGAACACGAGCAGACGAGAGCTATCTGTGGTGCAAGTCCAGCGCCCCCGACTACTGAATGGGAGGAGCCCCAACAGCAAACCATAAAAAAAAATGAGGCTGATCTCAGCGAAAAGGAAACAGACAGACCCGTAGAAGGAGAGTGTTGAGGAAAGGCGGCTTGAGAGAAAATACTGGTAGTGGTCGCGTTTCCCCACCTCCCCTACGGCGCTGCTCAGTCCTGGTGAATTTCTGCACAGAACTGTCGACTGCAACCTCTCTTCTCAACTGCTGCTCGAAAACAGCAACTTCGCTCGTATTTATTACTCTTTGTTGTAAAAAAGAGAGAGAGAGAACCCGAACATTTTTTAAGACGGGCTTTTTTTTTTGTTTGTTGTTGTTGTTGTTGTTTCTCTGCGATCCGTAGACGTCAGGTTTTTCTTCTGCGAGGTGGTGACGAAGCGAGGAGACCAAAATGAGTTGTACTGTTAGCAGTTTCTTCGCCACTCTGGCGGTGCTGCTTCTGTGGCGAGTGAAAGAAATAGCGGAAGGTTGCAGCTGCTCACCCGTCCACCCACAACAGGCTTTTTGCAATGCAGATGTAGGTAAGATCACGTTCTGATTTACTTCTATATTCGCGCAGATGAATGTGACACGTTTCCACGCTCCTGTAACCCGCTAGGTAGCGGTCTGTTGTATTAATTGTTTTAAGCTGTGACAGTGTCGGAATGCAATCCACAATCCACAATCCACAATCCACAATCCACAAGTTCAGATTCAGTCAGGATCGTTTAGTTTGCGTGATGTCTGGATGCCATCTGAAACAAACGCACTGGGCATTTCCCCACTCGCGAAATATCGAACCCAACTTTTAACTTGTGAGATGCATCTAAATTAACTGTAACGTTAATCTCTGTGAGAGAACCGCGTTTTTTTGGGGGGGGGGGTTGTTACCTGAGGTGGGGTGCGTTACACGAACTCCTGCTGTTGTCGATCTTGTTATTTTAAAACGGATTCATTCGCGGGGGACGCGTCAAGAGGGGTCAAGATCAACTGCCTCGCCACTAAACGTACAACTGGCAAGTTTAAGTCACGAAGCCACCTGTAACGGTGATGTCGGGGTGTTTTCAACAGGACAGGTTTAATGCATCCCAGAAGACTGGGTATGTCTCTACCTGTCTCCTAGCCTTGCCTCTTTTTAAAATGGACTGCGTTACGAAACGCCTCAAGTGCCCAAAACGTTTGCGGTGCACGTTAAGATATTTTCATGAGTCGCAGATATGATGGACGTTTTCTTTGCTGTCGTACCGATTTCTTAGATCTCGATTACTATTGTTCACGTAAAAATGTAGCGCACAAAAACAATCACACACACACAGAGAGAGAGAGAGCCTATATAAATGTGTCTCGTATGTTGTAACTCATTGTAGTGGTTAGTATTTTGCTACCGATGTCAAATCGTGATCCGCGAACTGCGATAGTCGTCTGATACAGGAAGTCCTAGAAAGAAAACTCTGGAAAAGTTTGCAAGGTCTCTGGTAAACAATGTATTCCGTTTGCGTCCTTTTAAGTCCAACTTCCCAGATTCGCACTGTCATTGTGTGTTAATTTCCAAATATTTACCCCCACCACAATATGAGCCTGAAGTTGTGAAGGTGTTGGTAAACAAATAAAAACGGCCAATGTCGATTTTTACAGATTTTGCACATTTTTGTAATGGACGTTTGTAAACAAATTGGTAAGATCACATCTTTGTTTATCATCGCTTATGGAAAACTCCCCCATGCCTGTCATATCTGCCCTGTTTCGTGTAGACGTGTTTGCCGGGATCTGGTGGGGTGTTTGTGTTTTGGGTGACTGTCCGCCGTCTGGCTTGGCTGTTTCATTCAGTGTCGGGCAAGTCGACAACTCGCGTCCCTCACTCGTTACGTCTTCAAATCTTTCAGGTTTCCTGTTTTCGGTAGAAGGGATTCTCGGGGAGCTGTTGAAATGGAGCTGCGTGTAACATGTAAAACGGTCAAGATTTTGAAATCCCTATACCCCCCCCTCGCCAATCAGCGAACTACCCCTGGTGCTGTCCTCGTAAAAGGAATGCTAATTAGGTCTGCGTGACTCGTGGAAAACAGCAGTTAGCGTTTATGTTGTGCGGTTATGCTAATTTGCAATAATCTATCCATATCTTTTTTGAGTGTGGAGTTGGTCGGGATCTGTACTGGATTTGTTCAGATAGGCCTGCATGTTGCAGTTGCCCTGGGATTCTCTGGTGGTTTGGGCCTGAACTATGCGGATTTCAGCCCGTGGATAAATGAGCTGCGCATTTCAAGCGCTCCTGAATGACGGCGCACATCCCAGTTTTGTGAAAGCGCACGTCGCTTGACTTTCCGATTAACAGCTACGGAAAGCAGGCACGGCGACCGTGGGGAGTGAATGTGTGTGTGTGTGTCCCAGTCTGAAGGTTGCTTATAATTAAACACCGAAGGGTTTAACTTCATTTTAAAAACGATTTCAACTAGAAGACCGTGACATGACATATATAAGTTTGATTTGCATTTGTGCTTTTACGAATATGACGCTGCGTGTTGTTACTACTACATAAGACGTTTTTGCCATTGCCCCCCTTTGTCTTTGAGGTTGCCTTGGTGGGGAGTCGGTGTGCTTCACTTAGGGAAATTATGGAAAAGTGACGTTACGGGTTCAGCTGGTGATCTGCTGAAACTGTAAAGGCGGGATAGGTCCAACAGCTGAAATTAAATCCCCTGATGTGTCACTGGTTACTTGTGACTGAATCACTGCTGGGCGTATCTTGGCTTTGTAATTCAGTTCCTTTTGATTTCAAATGTCAGGCATGTGCTAATTACAAACAGATCACTAGTGCTATTGACAGTTTTGATGGCTCTTTTTGTGCTTAAAATGTACTTTTATGTTGCTAAAAATGGGCATTTCTGAAAAGCAAGGCTCCCACAGAACAGATATATCACAGGATATGAATAATCACTTAAGATGCAGCTCGTATGCCAAATACAGAGGAGTTAAAAAGTTTTCATAATCCATTAAGCCACTCCTAAAGCGAGTCTGCTCCATGATACGCGCAGCTCTGCCGATTGAAGTATCTGCCGTGAACAAAGGACTTCCCATGCCTTTCCCGTTCTGAGAATCGTCACGATGCTGGGCGCAAGTTCCCGGGATTGGGATCGCAGTATCTCCGGGGGGAAAGCGTTTGCTGGCACTGCAAGCCGCTCGCCTTCCCAGAAAAACATCCCTTCCCCTCCAAGTGTGTGCTGAGCAGGATCCCTCTGCGGGTGTCAGATGTGTACGTGGCAGGAGGGGGCTCACGCCAGTGGGAATGTGTGGGCTCGGGGCTCTGTTCCTCCCGCGCTAGCTGCGATCGGGCTGGGGCGCCGGTCAGCCCCTCCAGATCCGGCCTGAGGAATGGCAGGAATGCTCTGATGTGTCCCACTGGGGGTTTCCCCACCCAGCTCAAGGCTGAATCAGTGGGACAGCGCTGGGCAGATGTGAGGCTACAAGCTGCTGCAGCTGGAATGGAGTCCATCTCCGTGCCTGCAGTCAGGAGGAGTTTATAGGTTGAAGCCTGGAGGCAATTGATCCAGCCCCCCCGACCCCCCCAGCAGGAGAGGGCCAATGCACTCGCACGTTCTCTCTCTCTGAAATATGCCTGATGTCATGCCAGCAGTCTTTCTACCTTTTTTCATTTCTGCTCGTTTGTCCAAGTCTAGCAATAAAGAAGCATGTCAGGCAAGGGATTTTCTTCTGCCGTAACCTGGGCGTTTCTGTTCAGGTTATTAACTGCATTGATTGCGAAGTGAGTGATCTTGTAGGTGATCTGAGGACGAAAGGAGCTCCCGTCCTTCGAACTGGCTCGGTTTGGTGTGAGGTTTCACACTGCCTCATTAATCTGGAAAGTGCATTTTGTAGTGCCTTAAGGCACGCTGCTCTTTGTAGTAGGTTGCAGTTTGTGTTTTCCTCCTGTTGTTGGAGGCAGTTTGGGGGTTTGTTTGTGCAGATCTGAAAACTCTTCCTCTGAGACCTCTCTCAGGCCTGGTCTCCTGCTGGACACCATGTTTGTGCAGAGTGTCATGTTCAGCAGAGCTGATGTCTTACTTTCGATATGCTGCCAGTATTGTAAATAACTCTCTTATTTAGCACAGGGCCCTGACGTTTAAGGCAGAGTCACATCAGGCTGAGATTATAGTCTGCAGAATTGCACCTTCAGGAATGACTGATGACTTGATTTTGGGACCTTTTCCAGCTTTTATTACTAGTGAATTGACTGTTCTAACCCTCACACAGGTTTCTGTTTCTGACTTTTCGTCGTAAATGAAAATATGATATTAGATCACTAACAGAAGCGGACTTGTCTTTTACTGCACCTATTAAAATACTGCTCTGCTTGTTGGAAGGCAGGAGAATGTGAGCTGGTTGGACTGCAGTGTACACGGCACATTGCTCATTAAAAGGGTACTCTTTGCTGAGCTGCATGTTACCGTGGCTCTGCAGTTTCCAAAACCACAGTGAGCAGCTGAAATAGTGAAACTTAGCTGTACTGTGCACTTCCAAACTGCTGAAGCATGTTTGGAAATCTGAATATTTTTGCTTGTCAGCAGTTGTATGGAATAGTTGACCTAGCTCTTCTTTAATTCCTACCCTTTCTGAAAATAAAAGTTTAATGTACCATATACAGTATTTATTTCATCCCTGGGAGCTTTTGCATGGTAATTGAAGGCACTGCTGTTCATCCTCAGGTGGAATCGATGATAGCTTCGTCAGACTTTCTCGTAATACTCCAATAAGACCTGTGTTATTATAAGAGTGTGACAGATGCTTTTCTTCTGATGTTTAATCTCAGGTTTTCAAACCAACTCATCTAGTTAAGGCCTCCATGTGCTTCCTGGAGATAAGCTCAGCAAACAGTTTTTTTTCCCCAGACAGTTTTTGCTGGAATAGTTCATTTCCCAGTCGCAGCTGTAAGGACAAGAGCATTCTCAGAACATGTGGCAAGTATGAGATAAACTAGCCAAAACATTCAGATGATACACACTGTCCTGCCTCATTAAATTCCTGCTGAAGTCAGGACTGAACTTTTGATCTCCTGGTTCACAGACTGTCTCTGCTAAATGGCAGAGGGATCAGATTGCATTAGCCGAGCAGGCGTGTAATTCTCATAAGTGGGAGATTTTTAAACAGAAATGTCATTTTTTCACATGGCATAGGATTGTCCTGGTGCGCTGCCCTGCAGGAGGCATCGTGCTTGTCCATTTTAATGATAAAGCACATCATGGCTTCTAACAGATGAATGTTATCATGATGTCAGCGTCCCTGGAACACAGTGCCGTTTTCCAGCTTGTGTGCAAGAGAGCTGTGCCACAATACGGCAGAAGGTACTGATGGGTTTTGTCAAAACCAGAGGAGCTGCGCTTTCTTCTGTGTGGGTGAGAATGGATACCTAGACAGAGTCTTGGCTCCATGCTGCCTGTTACGTTGCAGGGAGCAGGGGCTGAGTCACAGCGCAGCACACCCGCACTGTAATGCTGTAGCTGGAGCCCAGACTGCCACTTTCTCATAATGATATGTCCCGCAGCAGTGTGCT